TACTATTAATGTGATGCGTATAAATATGAATTGTAACACTTTATAGTGACTGGAAAGGGTAAAACAAATCATCAGAAAATGACACCTGGAAACAACACCAGATCATTTGATATTGCAGCTTGTAAAAGGGAACTTAGATTTGGATAGATCTACTTCAAGGTACAAAATGTTAATCTCTTGTGAAATGAAATAAAAAAATATGTTAACACTGTAGATAATTAATAAAGATATCATTATGTGAGTATTTCTGTATTGGCCTTGTTATTGGTACTCGGCCAGCTGTATTGGCATTCGGCTTCGCCTCAGGCCAATGCAGCAAGCCTCGGACCAATAACAAGGCCAATACAGAAATACTCACGTAATAATATCATAGTAAATATATGAAGGATCGCGTATGCTTCTGTTTGTAGTAAACACAAATTAAAGATAAGCAGGAACATAGCTATACTGTTCCCAGAGATAAATACATATTAACTGATATGAATCAAAAGCATAAAACATTCTGAAAACAGGTTTATTCAAATGACTTACTTTCTATTTATTATAATGTTCTTTTATCCCGGGTCTATAGCTAGGATAGTTTAGAAGAGATTGGATTGATATAAAGACACGCGTCGAATTACTTATCACGCTAACGTCCAGCACGGTACAGTGAAATTCTGATGACAAAACAAATAACCCTCCCTTCCCGAAAAATTACCTGCATTATTCGTATCAAGTCTTTTTTTTTCCCTTTGGAAGTTGACCTTAGAATTCTACTTCTAGTTGATCGTAGAGTTATACTTTTAAGGTCAACTACCAAAGGGGATAATAATAAGACTTGATACGATTGATACTGGTAAATTTTTCGGGAAGGGAGGGATATTTTAAACACAAATGCGTCGGTTAAGGTCCGGTGGCTTGTTTTTTCAGTCATGTAAGGTGTTTTGAAAGCAGGTATATATATACACATGTAAAAAAAATAAAGCGTTGCCAGAGTTGCCAGAGTTATTTGTGTAAATAAAAGGTGTATTATAAATAAGTCGGCAACCAACTTTAACGCCAAAGCTAAACTAGATCAACACTTTCTTCAAAAGATACATGTCTTTACAATATTTCAAGCTCTAAATTTTCAAAAAATAGACAATTTAACTAACAAAGACTTCCAAAAATGCAATCAACACAAAATCCCTTAAATAGCAAAATTAAAATACACAAATTTAGGAGACCTTAAGGCAATGAACAGGAACGAAATCCGTTTGCTTACATCTGAGAAAACAATAATCACAGCATATTATAATGTTCTGACAACAAATGGTATATAGTTAAACTTAGGTCGATGTATGTGAATAGTGTTTACTAATGTTCGAAACCATAGTTTTAGTAAATATTTTTTGTCATTGTCCAGAAAATTAGACAGTCATATATTTATAACAAAAAATAAGATGTGGTTTGAATACCAATGAGATAGATATCCACCAGAGACGGCAAAATAACGTAGATGTTATAAAACATACGTCAACCTACGGCATTCGACAATGAGTAAAAAACCATACTGCATTGCAAGCTATACAAGGATCCGACATGACAAATGTAAAAAAATGTGAAACAACAAAACCAACAACATGTCATTGGTTTATGTACAAAACAATTTAAAAAGCAAATATAATACACTACAACAAACGACAACCAATGAATGAAATCCAGGCGTATCATTTTGCAACAGCCACACATCCTACACGGCGGGGTTAATATAAAAATAAGAAGATGTGGTATGATTGCCATTGAGACAACTCTCTACAAGAGACCAAATGACACAGAAATTAACAACTATAGGTCACCGTACAGCCTTCAACAATGAGCAAAGCCCATACCACATAGTCAGATATAAAAGGCCCCGAAATGACAAATGTGAAAAAATTCAAACGAGAAAACTAACGGCCTAATTAATGTACAAAATAATGAACGAAAAACAAATATATTACACAGCAACAAACGACTACCACTGAATTGCAGGCTCCTGACTTGGGACAGGCACATACAGAATGTGGGACATACATAACCATGTTTGCGGGCGCCCAATCTGGGACTTTGGTGTTAAAGCGGAACATACATCAATAAAAGCGCTATTCCTTTGCTTTTTGTGTTTTTGCTGTGCATGTACTGACTTTTTGTCATGGATGGATACCCCTTATCCTTTCTTTTCTATTATGTAAGAACTTGTTGTAAAAATCGGATTGACTTATCAGTATGATACAAAGCTAAAAAAAAAAAAAAACTAACAAGAAGACCTATATAACCGACTTAAACCGATTTACTCTATGAACATTTTTCGCAGAAACTATGTACCTTTACAAACTAATGGATATATAGGGACAATGAGTTCCGGTATAATTAAGATTCAGTGGACTCTAAAACGTTTTTGGTTGATTTATCTCACGGGACAATTAATAAAAGATATTTATCATACTTTTTTTCTCAAACACAAACAAAAAAACAGAGTAAATAATTGACTGTCTTTTGAAAAAATTATTCATAAAAAGAGTTTATCGAAATTAGTACAAAAAGAAAATTGTAACTCTTTTAAAAATAACATATTGGCCTTTCAAATGTTCCACTTTTTTTTACCCAAATACAATTTATAAGATTATTGTTTTAAATGGATGATACTACAAATCAAAAATTCAATATTCAACATAATAAGCTATAAAACGGCAAGCTTTTTAGAAAAGCTAAAACTTGTACAGTAGACTATTCTCATATTCTCCGGAATTTATGATTTTTCGACAGGTAACCTACTCTGTGGAAAGACATCTTGGTACTCGGTCAAGTAAGAGTAACGTATAGAAGTAAAATAAATCTTGCAATCGGTACAATTGTTGGGGAAAATGGGAAATCGCTGTATACGCGTTGATTGTTTTTTGTTGTTGTATTTGACAAGTTTGCTATTATAACCAATCCATTAACATAAAAATGCAATTCATAATTGTACCGATCCTGGTAATTGAAGACATCTATAGTCCCTGTGCCAGTTGGAAAACAAAATCATATTTGTCGTATTTCTTTTACATAGTGACCGATCGGTTTCTGGCATGTTAAAAGTTGAATTGGACTGGGCAAATTGAGGCAATCTTTCTATACTACTAAAATAACGAGGTCCAATTTGTTAGCCGGCATGACGTAAAAACGACGAATCAAAGAATTCAACTTTATATATAACTAATATAGGACAATGGTGTTGATTAAAAATTACACCTGTACATCTCCAGAATATCTTCTGGTGAAGAGTAAAAAGATTAATCTGGAACTCTTCTGGAGATATCCTTAAGAAGCAATAAAGCACAATTTCTGTTTGGCGACGAATACATTGTTTATGTTAAATGACATAACTAAATTTTACGATGATTTCTTAGAAAATTTAGTTACGCAAGCGCATTCGAAAGACATGACTGCAATAGTTTGCTCTGTTTTTGACATTGATGTAACTATATAAAAGTTGTAAAAACAAAGAAAATTTGTTGGTTGAAATCGCTGTGTTCGTGACATTTTTTTTATGCTTTCCTAACTTAATTTAGTTCAACAAATCCTACTTAAAGCTCCGACCATTTGATTTTCGGGAATGATCTTAAGCTACAAGAATTTGTCATTGTTTGTCTGGTATAAGATCGTAAACGACATCTTATAAAAAAGGACTATCAATATCATGTAATTTTAAAGTAACCAAATTTTTTTTTTTTTAAATAAAAAATATATGTATACGAACTTATTCAAGGTCATACGTTTCTCAGACTGCCAAGTTATGACGTCTTTACAATCCGTTGGTTGTGTACTGATTGATACATTAGTCCGAGAGAACATGATTTATTTATTTGTTGTAATTGGCTTTGCACTAGCTTTCAGTAACTGCGAGTATACTCTCAGATCTTTACTTAGTGTCTCTTTTGTTATAGGATGTATTAATACGCTGCCATGTCCGTGTAGCCTGTTTGAGTACTATCAATCTTCAATAAGGGGACAACCGTTGTTTTATTTAATTTTTTTGAGGGGGGAAGGGGGGGGGGGGGAGTTTTTTGGATATAAATATACTGGCCTGGAAAGAGCTGGAAAAAAAGCATGCATAGCGACAGATTACAATGAATTAAAAATCCGCAAAAAATCCTCGCATTATCCCCCTCCCCAGAATATCAAATGGTCGTCTCCTTACTGTAACCGTCTGCCTAGTTCTATAATATAAAAATTTCTTTTCTTTTTGCCATTTTTCATCGGATATTTTCATTATTTGTTGAATAAATAATTTATAGTTTATCTGGAATCAAATTACAGACACCATTCGCATTACTTCGTTTCAATGTAATGAGTTGCATTGTCCAACTCTAGATCCTTTAAACTTTTACGCTTTTAAAAAAGACCCTCCCCCCGCCCCCCCCAACTTGAAATTGATACTTTTTTGGTAATTTACAAGTAAAATTTGTGCCTGACATACTTACATGTGGTCATTACCTACACAGGAAGTGTCCCGGGGGTTTATTATATACAATATCGATTAGATTATTGACAAATTAACGTAATCATATATGTTATGTCCTTTTACTTTTGTATGGTGTTGGATACAGTGTTCTAATGGCAAGCATAAAATATCTCCTTACTTTCAAATAGGATTTGGAAATTCACGCAAAATTTCCAAAGTGTATATTAGTAAAATTATGAAGCATTTAAAATCAGTTCTAAATGTATGTGTAGGAATAACTGTGTGTTTCGTGTCATTGTATGTTTTGTTGAACCATTTCCAAAGATTTCGAATTATAATGTTTTCTGAAATGAATCACAACCCCGAACTTATTGGAAGTGTTGACCAATCGAGTGATCGCTTTTGGACGGAATATTACCAACAGATAACAAAGCGAAATCAAATCAAAACATTTGCGCATGTGCCTATAACTAACGGATCTTGCCAAGGAAAATTTCACACTAGTATGAATGATAACATGCACACCGTTTTGGAATATCCTGTTGTAAACAAAATGGCTAAAAAATTTAAAGAGATGTTCGAATTGTTTGGAGAACCGGTTGCCATTGGTAACGAGACTTTTCCTGTTATTGTTACAGGAGCTTCATCCAATCATTACCACGAATCCCTTGCTATGATCCATACTTTCAAGAAGAAAATTTTACCACGATATAAAGGGATAAGGTTGATATTTTATGATCTCGGTTTAACGAGATATCAAATAAAGGAGTTACAAAACTTTTGCAGTTGTGAAATTAAGACTCTCCAATTCAACAAATATCCATCGTTTGTTAGAGAATTGAGAAATTTTTCTTGGAAAACTTTGATTATATACACAGTCTTAAAAGAACACAACTTTGTAATGTGGGCCGATACATCGGTTCAATTTACAGGTACGAAAGAAGCTTTTGACGTGTATTTCCAACAAGCAAAACAAGTTGGCATTCTGGTGAGAAAGAACGACCAAAGTCAAACAGCTCGAACTTTTTACCGCACGAAAGCAGAAACATTTAAATATCTAAATGAAATTTCATGTATGTTCGATTTCAAAATATTACGTGCTGGATTCGTAACAATTTGGAAAACATCATTCACGTGGAAATATATTATTCAACCTTGGTTAGCATGTGCCTTGACAGAACACTGTATGTCTCACTATGATCCAGGATTAGTCATGTATTGTAATCCTCAGAAGGCAGTCTTATATCACTGCCACAGGTTTGATCAGGCAGTGTTAAGTATAATCCTGCAGAGACTTTTCAATGTCAATTGTGATATAGTGACCTTAAATCGTCTACCGGAAGTACATCAAATTGACAGATCTCAACGTTATTTTATTAAAGGGTACAGAACATCTAAGTGAGCTAACTCTTTAAAAATTAACTGAACGCTTTAATAAACAAATATGAGTAAAAAGAAATCAAGCTTCTCAATTCTCAATGATCGAAATAAGTATTTTTTAACTGTTTTATATCCAATGAAATTATTCCAGTGAATTGTGTGGTTCAAATTTCTTGAATTTTTTATATTTTTGTCAACAGTTCTAAGTAAATATTTTGTCAAAATTTTATGAAAATTAAACGAGCCAAATCTATTCTAGTCAAATGTTGGGTACCCCCTTAAATGAACACTTTGTAAGATATTCAGATGGAGAACAAGTAATTCGGACCTGGTCAGAAAGAGCATACCTATTTTCATCAAAATAGTTCATACGCATAGGTGTAATGTCTATATATACTGCTAGGAGTAACTTGTAGAAGAAGAGAGTCGAAAGATACCAGAGGGACATTCAAACTCATAAGTCGAAAATTAACTGACAACGCCATGGCTAAAAAAGAAAAAGACCAACAGAAAAACAAGAGTACACAAAACACAACATAGAAAACTAAAGACTGAGCAGCACGAACCCCACCAAATTTATTGTAGTTGTTTTCTTAAGAACATTGTCAAATATTTCACGCACATCAGGTTAGGACGATAACATCTTTAGTAGTTAAACAATTTGGAGGGTCGAAAGGGATAACTGAAATCAGAGAAAAATGCAGGACACTGTCTGGATAATGAATTAAAAAAATGTTAGAATTGCGGCCGAAGGTGACTGTGTATAAATCAGCCAAACGGATATCCTCCCATGAATATGTCTTCCTACGAGACCAGATAAGCCCCAGCGACCATAATTTTATACTCACGTGACTTTTGCTTGTATGTGTATACATAGTATGCGGTGGGTGTATCTTGCAAAAAACCTTTATAGCACAGATCTTTCTCGTGTTCAACACTGTCTTTTATGGTTGTTTATTAGTTCTTAAAGTTCTTGTTTTAAAAGCAAGATCCAATCCTTTTCTTAAGAGAGCAACCTTTTAATTTCAAGGAGGGGGGTTATGGTTTTTTTGAGTCAGAAATTATTTTTTTTAGTTTTTCAACGCTATCAATCAAATTATTTTTTTTAATTATTCATCAAATTGGGGATCAGAATACTTTTTTAGTATTTTTTAGAATATCATAACCCTCCCCTTGAAGTTAAATGGTCGTTCCCTTATCCTTTCACGATCCAATCCTAAGATATTAAAAATTTGTATTTTATACAGTATAATGGTAATTGTTCATAATCCCAGTTGTTTTAGTGGTCCGAATAATCTTTTTAACGGAGGAATGAATTCACAGAAGTCTATTTTAGTTCGCCGAGCTTAATCAGTGGTGCATTTAGGAGCCTTTAAAAAGGTTGAGTGGTTTATTTGAACAAGGAGAGAAGTATGGGGCCAAACCTCATTGTTCTTATTTGTACTTTTATTATTCTTATTTCGCAAACATTTTAAGATATTAATTAATTTGGACTTTTGGTTTAACCACCGTTTTGAAGGTTTATTTTTTCTTATTTGACAGGTAAAAATCGTTTTTAACACTGATTTTTTTTATTCATTTATGTTGATAATATAAATGGGCATTGATTTAAATTTGTTTTAATTACCTAAAGTTTTGAACAGTTTTATCTATTCATTATGTCTTCATAATTACATTATTTGTATGGTTCATAAGAATCCGTACTTTTCATTGGCTGACAATAATCGCGATGCATTCCAAAATTATGTTTTATTTCTCTTTAAAATACAACATTCAATATATATATATATATATTTCTCTAATTCTTCGTCAATTTATCCCTTTCTGCACCCATTGTATAAAAAAAATTTAATCAACGTGTGGTTCGTTTGATCTCAGTTCTTCATTGGTTAAAATCCGATTATGACGTCGAATTTTCTTGTTTTCCTCTGAATTTCCTATCGTGACAGCATGAAAAAAGGCGACCATGCCTGATGACGTCACATAGAAAGAACACATCTTTTTGCAGATCATTCGAAAAGAAGGAATAAATTTGCCTGCGTATTGTTTGAAAATCATTAGAGAAACAGATTCCACCACCAAATCTCGTGTAATACGATATTTATCCACTCTCGACTGTTAAATTTTAAATATTTAAAACGCTCGGCGAGCCTCGCGTTTTAAATTTGAAAATTTAACTGTCTCGAGTGGATAAATATCGTATCACACTCGATGCAGTGGTAGAATCTATATATATATATATATATATATATATATATATATATATACAAGTCTAAATTGAAAACAACGTTCAAACCTATGATTGCGTTGGATAAAAACCGCAATTTTTATACGTGTGCATGCAAAACAAATTTCTTGGTAGAGGGGGCTAAATACAGCACAAACAACATTTTCCAAAAGACTAAATGAGTGAAAAAGTATATTTTAACAAAACGCATTTGACTAGCAGGTCGAACAACTGATGTTCTTAAACCCTGCTGACCGTGCCATTGGCGATTGCCAAATAAACGGATCACAAGCGTAACAAAATAGATATATATATATATATATATATGTAAATATTTACTCACAAACCAAATTACAAAGGTATCATGAGATAATTATACATATTTCAATACAATTACATAAATAAATAATGTACGAAAGTAGATAGAGGCATTTACAATTGTTCACCCAGAAAAGTTCAATTTGTTATTGATCTCCTTAATAAGTTTACACAGTTCATTCAGTTCTGTACATGTTTTGGAATTCATTAAGTCATGAAACTTCAACTGTTAGGTCTTTTCCTATAATGAAACGTAATACATTGTTTTCTACAGTTATCAAAAGCTGAACAATTAAAAATGTAATGGTATTCATCACCAGTGGCATCTAAATGACACAATACACACTTTCTATTTTCTCTTTCTACATTTTTATTTTTTATTTATATGCAATAATTGCATTATGGGTAATTTTTTGACGTCACAAGGTCAAATTTGTAACAACGTTTGTGATTGGTCGGTAATTGTTTGGATTTCTCCCCTTTCTTTATAAACATGAGTGACCAAGAATTTAAAAAAAAAACGCGTCGGAATATCGCCCCTCTAACTAAATTTGGCGTTCGTGCTGTTAATGCCAATAATGGCCAGGTCGAGCAAAAAATGCGAGTGACAAGTAACAATAATTAATTTGACAAGTAATAATAATTAATTTGACAACCTGTTCATGGATAGAAACAGATGCCTGCGTGCATGGCGAAAATGCATCCAATGAAAACCCTTTCTGAAGAAACTCCATTACAGTCTACACATTGAATATCTTTCCCCCTCTAAGTTCAGATACATGTTATCATGACGTTCTCTGATGCTATATTATTTTTTACTTTTCTTGATCCTCAGAGACGTTGCAGGAAGGCAAACGTAAAAAAGAATACATCTTCCAGGACGTTATAATTATTTGGACTAAGCCCCCTCTTTTTTGCTACTTGTAGAAAAAAAAATCACCTAATAACGACAGCAGAACCAGAGACCAACAAGAAGAGACCTGAGCTGTGATACTCCGGAACTAATTCTTTAATAAAGACAATTCGGGATAAATTGGAACCAGTAACTAACCCATGTTACAACACTAGTCCTATGACATAGGACGTACACTGTATAAGGCGTGAACTTCATATTTTGGACTATCTATAATATGTGCTCTCATGTCATATGCCGCAAATCATTTTACATTTAGGATTCGTTGCTGAGCATTTTTTACTGTTCCCATCTCCGAATCCCTTAAATAGATTTTTTTTTCAAGCCCCACAGTAGTTCAATAATTAATATATGTCTTTGCATAAATAAGTATGCAGGGCATATTTCAAAACAAATTTTTCTTCAGGACTTTTAAATGATTTACTCTTCAATGCTGTATTGGGAAAGGGGGGAGGGGGTATACAAGTTTATTTTGTGACACAGTATATAATATAATTAGATACAAATCTCTAATGAGATCCAAAAAATTATAGAATTGTGCGTTTAGCTATTATCTAGACCCGTACAAAATGTATATAATAAGATACATTTAACAGGGGCGGATCCAGAACCTCTGTGTCTAGGGGGGGGGGGGGGGGGGGGTGTTCAGATTTAGATATTTGTATAGAGATGTATATATGCGAGTATTGGCAGTAACGGTTATGGTGTGTGTGTGGAGGGGGGGGGGGGGTTCAGATCAAAGATCGTTTCTATAATTCTATATCTTATAGTTTTTACCATTTCACTCTTTTCTTTATCCTTTGGTCTCTATTATATTTGTCTTAAGCATGCGTGAAATATTTGCCACTGGACATAAGGTAACCAAAAAACAATCAACGTATTCTTTATATTTCATCATTTTTTATTATGTTATCTATAGGTTTGGTCCCGCCCCTTATCTATTTTTTGCACATTATTCTCTCTATGTAAACCCAATTCCTGTCCTGATAAATGGTGACTCATGCATAGCATCATGCATATGCGGTTATTAAAACAAGAAACATATTCATATTATAATAATTTACTGTAAGCTTGGATTCATAGATAGATGTCATTAGACCCAGATCATGTAATAAAGTAGGTCTTATAAAAATACAATAGTATTTTAATGATGATTATATATATGTATTGAATATGCCTCAACATTTCTATATGTTAAATATATATACATATCTGGTTTTTGCTTTTTCTTTTGTGTTTATTTTTTCTCTATTCTATATTTTGTCATTATATATCATTAAGAATTAATAATAATCATTGTAATAAATTATTTGTAATTATACTGCTCCCTTAGGGCGTCCTTGATTGACAATAAAAATATTGTATTGTATTGTATTGTATATTTAACAATGCCATTTTTTTGGAAAAAAGGGTAGGGGCAAGGCGTTTTTAAAACATATTAATAGGGCGCGTTTGTTTGTTCTTCGGTAGTGAGCCAGAAGAAGTCAATTTCTGTTTTTTACATCGAGATGACCGTGAGGGTATTCCGATGTATTGCTATCGCCTAGATTTGCACACATAACTTTCGTTTTGGGTTTGTAACCGATCTATAAACATGATAAATACGCGGAAATTAACTAGTGCAAACTAACATTCCTTATCGTTTGTTATGAATACATCTCTTCAATGAATACTGATAAAAATATTTTTGTTTAGAACATAAATTAATAATATGAAAATGTTTTGTCGTTAGATATATAAATATATATTATATATAAGTAAAAAATCATTAATAATA